CTTCATACGGTGGAAGTTGCGGGCTTGCTCTGGATTAGACTTTGGCTTAAGGGAATTTGTGGCTGGTCTGATCTGCTATCCAGACCACTCAAACTTCCTCCGTAACAGTAATAACGCTGCTGCACTTCCTCAGTTTCGTTCTGTCACACAGGCTAGAGCGCAGTGGCACAATCATAGCTCACTGCAGCCTCTAAATGTAGTATCTCAAAACACAATAAAACGAAGTGCAATAAAATGAGGTATGCCTGTACTTTGATAATCATTCATTCATTCTATTTTAGAAACAAACATCTGTTTTAGACCAAGAAACAGGTGGCAAGGGTGGAGGGTGTTGGACAACTGGCGGGCAGCACGTGGGCCTGGACCCCTGGGATGAGATGGAATGAGAGCAGTAGCAGAATAAAGGAGACAGGATGGGGACAGAAACACCTTTTATATGTTCTCAGCTGTGCCTCTCTATGCTTTCTCTATAATTTTGTATAAAATGAATATATTCCTAGACAGTACATTATTTTAGATTTTTTTAAATTTCAACAAATCATGTTAAAGCCAGGTGCAGCGGCTCACACCCATAATCCCCGCACTTTGGGAGGCTGAGGCTGCCAGATCACTTGAGGCCAGGAGCTCAAGACTAGCCTGGCCAACATGGGAAAACCCCGTCTCTACTAAAAATACAACAATTAGCTGGGCGTGATGGCACTCACCTGTAATCCCAGCTACTCAGGAGGCTGAGGTAAGAATCACTTGAACCCAGGAGGAGGAGGTTGCAGTGAGCCAAGATCACGCCACTGTACTCCTGCCTGGGTGACAGAGCAAGACTCCATCTCAGAAAAACTCTAATACTACTATTACAGTGTGTTTTTTTCTTTTTTTTTTTCATTTTGGGTGTGTTTGGGGAGTTTGCTTTTTGCTTTGTTCTGTTTTTGATGATCGCCATATACGATATCTGGTAGCATCAAGCTCCCCACCTTGTTCTTCCAAATTGGGTTAGCTACTGTGCCCTCTGCCTCTCTACACACACACCCCTCCGGAATTTTGATATTGTTTTTAATTTCCAAATTCCTTTGATAAAAATGGAAATCTTGGTGAAACTAATCTTTCCTACCATGAATATAGTGCATCCTTCCATCATTCAGGTCTCCCTCAATGCCTATAATGGGTATCTGATATTTCACAGTTGCCCAACATATTTTGAAAATCCCTTCCCCATTTTTAGACTTCTCCATATTAGGACTCTCTTCCCAGGCAGAATCCAAAAACTTATCTCCCAGAATCCTCTGCAACTTGGACATACATATATAACCAACTCCCACTGAGTAGTTAACACCCTAGCTGAAAACAGAAGATCCTACCAAAATGATTGCGGGAATATTTTTGCTATAGAATGTGAAACGACCTTCCTGGTGGTCCAGTCTCTCTCACTGGGGGTGGCAGTTCAGTAGCAGGCCCCAGCAGATGCTCGGTTTCCACTGGAACCACTTGGTTCTGTGGTCATTTTTCCTGGCTTCTGCCTATGTGGCATCCCGGCTTAGTTCCTCTTAGACATTTTGTAAGCTATTTAATAGGCGGATTAATCTAAGGTGGATTCTGCAGTCTGCTACTGATCACTGACATGGAATTAGGGACCAGAAGTGGGTTACTGAGTGTGACAGGACCTTAAAACAGTGGAACTGTTTAGTGGAAGTGTCTGAGAATACGGTGGTGAAGAGTCAGATATTGTAAGCTGAAAAGCACATGGGTGAGACGATGTGGCCACAGCTCTTCTGGACTCAAGTTGGCTCCATATGTTCTCATTCTGGCATGGGGCTGAAGGCGCAGACACCTTCCGGAGCTTGCTGTTCTCCCGCGGGGGGCAGAAACATAACCATCAGCTGAGCATGAGAACTGAGAAGGATGTTTTGGAAGTTATGGAGACAGCAAGTGGCTGGGCTCGGTGGCTAACGCCTATAATCCCAGCACTTTGGGAGGCCAAGGTGGGTGTATCACCTGAGGTTGGGAGTAGGAGACTAGCCTGACCAACATGGAGAAACCCCGTCTCTACTAAAAACTACAAAAATTAGCTGGGTGTCATGGCACGTGCCTGTAATCCCAGCTACTCAGGAGGCTGAGGCAGGTGAATCACTTGAAACAGGAAGTCGGAGGTTGCAGTGAGCCGAGATTGCATCATTGCACAAAGCCTGGGCAACAAGTGCAAAATTCCATCTCAAAAAGAGACAGAGAGGAATTATAAAGTAGTGGCCTAGGAAAGCAGGGGAGTAAAGTGGATTGCAAAAATGTATGACCATCAGGAAACAATAAGGCCTCCATGAAATGACTGGTCATGAATTTAAGCGGCAATGCCGCATGGTAGTGTGCTTTCTCCTGATCGTTTTTGGTAGCACAGGTCCAGGAACAGAGAAGGCAAAGAATTGCATTTAGTCTGAGATGAGGTTTTGCCAAGCGAGCATGACAAAGCAAGAGACCGCAGGGAGTTAAGGGAGACTATAAAGGAATTATTTTAAGAACTGACTATGGAGTTTAAGCTGGGTGAAAAAGGAGGGATGGGCATTTTCTGTTTGAAACATCTCTCTCAAAGTATGGTGCACACTAAAGATCTGGTCTTTACAGACATCCACAGATATCCAAAATCACAATTTCCGCAAGACAGAAAACTCTTCCTTTTACAAGCACACCATGATATTCAGGCACATGGTAATGTTTAAAAACCAAGATTGTAAAGGTTTTGCTATTAATTGCTATAGAGAAACATCTAGATAACAACAGCAGCACAAAAGAAAAAAAAATGTACGGCCCCTTCCATTAATGTGTAGGACTTAACGTTTACATTATTGCCAATAAAATGCATAATTCAAGTTCTTTTTCCAGTAACTATGTCACACAGTCCTCTCAACAGTTGTAAAGGATCCTTAACAAGGCCAAATCCAAGGGCAGCCCCGAATTCCACGTCATAAACTACCACGTAAGCCCAGCCACTAACCCGCTACACAGCTCCCTTTGCTTCTAAAAACCATTTCAAAGGCTGATTCAGATTCCCCTTGAGTTGGCTTTACACCATTACTTTTATTTCTTTAGTAGTTCATCAAATTCATATTTACAATTCATAAATATGAAATATAGAAGCCAGTGCTTGCCAATAAAAAAAAAAACCAAAATGCTCATTAAGAAAAATCACAACAGACGCAATAAAGATGAATGCATTTGTGTATATTTACTTAGGAAATAAAGGTTAGAAGAAATATCTGGCTACCAAGAGCAAAACTAAAGAAAAAAATGCCTCATGTTTAAAGACAAGATTGCTATCACTCTTGCTTCACTGTTTACTTCACATTATCGTTTGCATAGATGTATGAGATCTTCCAAGGTCTGGGCCAAGTGCAGCATAACTTCAGCTGTGTCAACACCCCAGCGAGCCACGGGCCCACTAAACAGTCTCCATCAATTGCTAAGGTCCACAGCTGGAAGCTTATTCCAATTCTCCGTTAGTAGCCACAGGTCTTGTACGCCCCTCCTGTTTCTCCCAGGTTGCTTATCTCTAATCATAATGGCCGAATACAGGGATACCCTCCCTTCCAAACTTCCCTAACACCAAAGTGTTCTACCACCAGTAACCCCACGATGCAGATGCAGCCACTGCTGTTCAAGCCTATGGGGACCAACGCAAAGGTTAAGGATTTCCATTTTCCATCCAGAAGAGATTATATAAACACGGTCTTTACCTATATATAGATTATAATGGAGTTCACGTTGAAACAACTGTAACACATGTAAGGCGAGGTAAAAAATACAAATGAAATTCAAATTAGGTTGGAGGCTGGGCACGGTGACTCACTCCTGTAATCCCAACACTTTGGGAGGCCAAGGCAGGCAGATCACTTGAGGTCAGGTGTTTGAGTCCAGCCTGGCCAACACAGTGAAACCCCGTGTATTCTAAAAATACAAAAATTAGCCAGGCATG